AGGGGATACAAATCAGTGTTTTAGTTAAGTATTCCATAAGACTTTATAGGCTGTTCATGGTTTTCATTTGAGGTTGATAGCAGCATCTGACTTTTCAAAGCAAGTAAGGCAGATTGTAATTAACTCAGCAGTGTAATTTAAGGTTAAGCGCCAAAGTCACTGTTTTATATTCCCCATCATTTATGTTGCCGTAATGCATAGTATAAATACATTTATTGTATTAGTCAGTTGTAGCACAAAGATGTAACCATAGCCATAACAAAGAACATTATGTCTTATTAAACAACTCCTTATCCAAACCTAATTATTCAGAAGCAACCTAAATCATATTTCTCATATTGAAGGTTATTTAAAACACTGATGATCTTATTATATCAAAAAATTTTGAAAATTATTAATTTCTTTATGCTTGTAATCATACCCAACCAGCTACTGTAACTATTTAGCGCAATGGATATACTCACCAGAAAATCTGCGTGTTTCCAATTTTATTGTTTCTGAACGGATGTATTTATTTCTTCTCCTTTTATGTCCTAATAGATAATAATAGATTTGATAACTAGCTTATTTTGCTTTAAAAGAAATTAGCAATTTAAAGGCTTGCCACGTAAATATCGCTACAGTCCAAGCTTCAACTAAAACGAACTTTATTTATGCGTCTTTTCTCTGTGTGAAATCGGAAATTACTTAAAAGGAAAACTATGAGTTCTTGTGTCCAAGTCATGCTTCCTAATACGTCGTCATAAGATCAACAAACTATTCACACCTCTGCGACTTAAGTCGTTATTTCTACTGGCAACAACTGCAGAAATACAAAAAACAGTAATTTCCAGTAAAAGAGGTCAAACTTAGGAATTGAATTTTCGTCAGTAAAACAAATATGCTCGTTTTTTGTAAAATACTTTGGAATTTATAGAATTCAAAGTGGAAGTTACTTTCTGGCAGGTACTGTTATCAAGGTCAACCTTCTAGTTCCTAACAAATTTCGAGATTTTATTTCATCCTCAGTCATCAACCAGTATTAATACAAGCCTGCCAAACCACGGCTATTTCAGATAGTCAAACTAGTAATCAATATTATGCCCCTCCTCTCGAATCCAAGTAGGTTTGGACTGAGATGAAAAGTTCTGATCTGGCAGCCAGTATGATCGTGATGAAGCGATTGTAACGCATTATGGATTCACATTACAATCGTGTGAAACTCATCGGTATTAAAGTAAATTTAAGATCTGACCAGCTATCGGGTCTCGTGGCACAATAAGTAGAACTCTGGGTGGGTAACATAGAGTTGGCTGGTTTGAATCTTGCTATAGGCCCAAAATTTTCCTTTCATCTTTCATCATTACTCAGTATAAATAGTGATATAGTGTTCTATCATAATTTACAAAGACAAGAATTAACTTAGGCAGATATGTGTGAAACACGGAATTAAAGTTGATAGTCTCTTATGCGTTCAGTAAGTTTGATTCTAAACAATTATATTTTCCGAAACTAAAAGTTAACAAGGGACAACAGGGCTTCATTAGCACTAACTTTCTATTTCAAAACCTACTAACAATGGTGATGATAATCAAAAGCAGAACTCATAGAAATATTTTTATAGTTACCAACCTTTTACAAAGAAAAATAACGGGCGATGAAAACCAAATACTGAAGGAACAGGAACAGAAAAACCAAAGTAAATCGAGGTGACACACAATCCCTTTTTATTAGGTTAAACAAACTTTCATCATTTATGCATTGTAAAATCATACACGAAGTATATTTGTCGAAATAATCATAATTCGTCAGCATTACTGAGTACAAAAGTTCATGCCTCAATTTATTTCGATAATACTTTTGGGGATTTTACTTGTATGCTCTCTATAGGCTTATATATGCCTAAAGCCACCCGCTGTGAATACTAATTATTTCCCACAGCTGACGTAATCTTTATAAGCAGTTAGTAATGATAACGAAGCAACATTCATTCAGATTTTTGCATTGCATTGCGTTGTATTATTTTTTTTAGATGCACTAAGTGTTATTACTTATTGTGGGAAAACATTATCTGTCTTGTTGCATCATATAATTTGATCATGTAATTGTCAACTTTGTACGCTTCTCTTCTTATAAGCTTGTCATTGATACTTACTACACACATTCCAGTAACACTTGGATAGTTATAATCCTTAGAAGTGTTTTGTGTAATAGTGGGCTGATCAGTATAGATATGCTTTCCTATTCACACTAATTAATATTAAGTCAATTGACATTGTGGCCTATTGGTAAAATATTAAGTGTGTCCGTCTGCAGAAGAATAAGATTCTGTAAACTCCCGAAGAATCTGATATTACGGTAACTTTCAAAATTTGATAAACTTAAATCACCTTGTAATAAAGAATTCATCGGAAGAAATCTAATGAAGATATCCTAGTTCATTACAGAAATCATATTTAGACTTCTATACTCACTGCTAACACAACACATCATACCACAAAATAAATTTCTATCAATGTAAAATTCGATTACAGACTTAATTACCCCAGTTTTTGATAGGACTATCTATGGGTCTTAATCGATTCGTTCTTCTTCAATATCAAAAGGGATTTTTTTTTCCTTCAAAACTTTGTTTAATTGTTAACTTTTTGACCGGAGTAATTTAATAGTAAGTTTGACTGATGTTATAATATTGCTATTACAGTAGTGACTCTAACGAGAGTACTGAGACGGATGACCTTAGTAGATAATGAGTGCTAGTCGCGACCTTCAAAAATAGGAATACTTTGAAAAGCAGCAGAATATATCTTGAAATATGTTAGCTCTTCTTAAGATTAAGTTAGGAATTCTGTAATCAAATGATTGTTTTGAAACAGTTATCCAATCCTCTAAAACTGCCAGTGGTTCTGTGGCCGATACTATTGCAGGATGAAACGCTTTTTGTATGTTTTCCAAATTTTAAAAAACCCTCTATCGTTTGCATATTAATTTCATCTGATACTTGATTAACTAGTTTATACGATATGATCGCTAAGGTTGAATTGTATATGGGAATAGTATTTTCTAATAAGTGTAGAAAAATTCCATTTCTTATTTTATAATTTACTACTAGTTTGCGTGTATGAGCATTACTACTACCTATTCCTTAGACTTTATGCTTCTAAATATTTTTTGTATTATATTTTCTGATTAGTACTAAGGAGTAAGGCAGAGAGGAAGCGAATAAGCGATATTTGAATTTTTCACCTTTTTTCCAGTGTCTTTTTGAGTGCTACACAAGGAAAGTGTAACACAACTGACAGAAATAAGTATACATTGAAATACTTATGAACATATTTCATTGCTGGACTAAAATACTCGTTTCATGACTTGATTCAATGATGGCTAGTTATAGCATCTTTTCATATCAACCAACTTCAAACCAACCTCACCATTATTTCATGACTATCCCATAAACTGTGTCAAGTTTAGTACGCCTTAAATGTGCGCATAGTATAAGTGTGGTATGTATTACAGTAGTCTGATTATTACTTAGTGATATATTCTAAGCAAATCTTACCATTTTGTAGACTGGACCAAAAATGTGTCCATTATTAGTTCAAGGTTATGCTACATTCTGGTGAAATACTGTCTTCAGTTACTGTTACTCCAATCACTCACCTTTCTCATGTATTTACTACCTGTTTCTCTCTTTCGCTTCCACCTTCAATTTTTCTCTTTCCATGTCTATCTTTTTCACTCATCTTTGAATTCTGCGTTGTTATCGCGACAGAGAATTCACTTTTTAGTTTACAAACATTATGTGTTTACAAAAATAACTATTTTGTTTATATCTATAGGAAAAGAATAATTGTGATTGATTCTTTTTTCAGCAGATTTTTTCTTATCTAACTTCAGAACCTAATTTTAGATTGTGTTATTAACAATAACGTAAATTATTCAGTTAACAGAAGCGTAGTTTCTTAATTCCTGTGTGACTGATTTTACGAGGAAATATATTAAGTGGCGGTAAAACTGAATATCAGTTGGCTGATATGCTGAACTGCCTATTCACTGCCGTTATTCAATGCTTTGCGAAACCTACATAAAGACTTGTTGTATTTTCCATATTTCTAGTATAGCTAATTAGTTCTAATACCTTCGCTTGTCACACTTCCTCTGTAAGCCAAAGCTTGCTGTCTCAGCCAATTGTGTTCTAGTCGATACATTAGACTCTACTCAATTCTTTTCTTGGAGTCCTTGGCTGTATGTAAGAATCGCTCATATATCTTCCCGCTACTTAGTAGTAGGCAAAATATTTGCCTCCAGTTTACTCAATTTTATAGCCACCCAAACCCTATCGAAAGAACTTTTGTATTCTTAGAATTTATAAGTTTGTTTCGACATGTAGTAGTTCTGCAACATTTTATCTTGCATTCACTCTGCTTTCACTTTGTAGAGGCCTATGAAACTTGAAATCAAATATGAGGGCATACTAGTTCCCCTTTAGTGGTCGATTTTAACCAGTGACAGAAGGTACCTGTAGATGAATGCATTTTTATCAGTTTGCCAAAAAACAGCAAAGTTTTTCTCACATCCCTTTATGAGTTTGGGAAAGACCAGTTAATCTCATCTGGAAAAGTTTGCAAATTTATGCGTATGAAGAAAAACCTTGTAGGAGAAATTTAGTCTTTTCACACTTTCCTCTCTTGTGAAAGCAGATAAGATGTTGGTGAAAGAAGACAGAATATACTTATATTAGTAAGTTCACCTAGACTTAATCACTGTAAAAGATTAAATAAAGTCGCCTTCTTCAACTAATCTCAGTTTCCTAGTCAGCTGTAACATATAGCTTATAGTATTTAATCAAGAGAACTTCACACTTATATGAATGGCAATTGTAGTGTATCATGTAAAGTCTAATCTACTTCCTTTGATTTATTTCAGCGCAAGTTTTTTCAATATGTATACATATAAACTAACATTAGATATTCTTCTTTCTTTTTACTAATCAATTATTGCTGTCTGTATTTTTATAACAGCTGGAATCATGTGAATTGATGATGGACAAATCAACTAATCGACATAGAGGTAAGCTAAGTCCTGTGTTCAATCTTACGCTTGGAATTAGTGGTTAGGGGTAAACCAGATGAATTAACGCTAATTTTAACCATTTCATGATGATTTCTAGCTATTATCTCATTTCTAAAGTTGTTGGAGAACCACTAAACCACCTCATTTCATGATGAATACTACCTTGAAGATAAAATTCATGTTTTTCTCAAAATGCATCAGTGCATAGTACTTATTATTAGCATGATCTGAGATGGATATCCTGAGGTTCTAATGAGAAACCGTGACCTATGGGTTCAACCAATGGTAAGTGAAGCAATAGCTAACAGATGTTGGTGGATAGTTAGAATCTATCGTCAATTGACAGAATTAGGAAACTGTGAACCATTGGCTGAATCGCTAACGCGTTCATCGTGAAACCTGAAAGTCCTGAGTTGGATCCTTGTCAGAGCGGTGTTGTGAATGCATTCTGCTGAGAAGTCCTATACTAGGATGAAACAGTTGCCCGGTGCTTCCAGATTTTCAGTGGTTCTCCAAGTGATATTAGTTCATGACGGTGAGACTATTCTTCACCATACTCAGCTAAACTCAGTTAAAGCGGTTGTAGCAGAGCCATAAAAGTAGTTTTACCAATATAATACTTTCAAAAAGGCTCTTCTGTACCAATAATCTATATGAACAGTAAAAACTGATCCACCTCATGTTTTCAACTAACTTTTTGAGCTTCTGATTATAGTCTTCTATAAAATATTGCTAACTGTATTTATCAGCTTATAGCAGCTGAATACACAAACAAGCACGTAGTATTGAAAGCATTTTAGTCTTTCTTGTTACTGATTGACCGAACTAAATTAGTCAGATTCTACTGGTGCTTAGGCTCGTTACATGAATACTTAGATATTTCATGTATTTAAAGAAAGTTTTATAACATACTTGATAGTAGCAAGCAGTGGAGTTCAAAACGTATATTTTGTCTCATCATAGCCCTATCAATTGAATAAACTTAAGGTTTACTGAGTGTTATTGTTCAAGGTATGATTAGAAACGAGCAACTTTCACTTTAAACGTTACAGCACTCTTCATCAGAGTGATAAGTTGGAATGGCTGGAAACTGTTTAGTGGACATCAATTTGTTACTTGATGGTTAAGAAGCTAACATTAAAAGCACTTTCAATGTGTACACTAAGTATTCAGTTAATCTGAGGTGTTTTTATCATAGTTTTAAGAGGGAGAGAGACAATATTTTGAACCGATTAGGATTTTATGACTTGTTTAAACCTACATGTAATCCAATTGCCTACTTTCCATCTTAGAATAAACAAATCAAGTATAATTTTGATTTAATCAGCTTTATCTTCACAAACAAACAAAACTATTTTTGCTAAACAGTTTTGCACTTATGAATGAATTTTTAAGCATAGGTACCCAGTTGGAAATATTATGCACTCTTCCGTTGACTATAACAAAGTATGGATTTTTAGCTATGTCAATGACTTGTGTCTCTCCTGTTATATATTTAAGGTGCATATATATATATATATATATATATATATATATATATATATATATATATATATATATACTGTATATGCGAATACTGAAATATAGCATTGTATATCACGAATAAATCTGGTTACCTTTCAGTATAAACTGTCTTAGCATTTCCTTATGACCCTAGTGATAAAGTATGTAGATTAGTCATGAAAGAAAGAATATTCACTTTGCAAATTCAAACTAATAAACGTGAGAATGACTAGCTGACAAGTTGAATGTCGAATTTCGGACAACAGAGAAAAACGCTTCAACTTGTGCCAGCTGCTTGCAATGCAGAGAGCTGATAAGCAATAGTTGAATGAAAATGGAGAAATAAAAAGCAGAACAATAAAAAGTGGAATACAATGAGGGTAACAAGACAAAAATAGTGGATATAATAAATGTGGTGGATAGTGGCTAGCAGTGGAATCTAGGATGTACATTCTATCCCATTTAGGACTTGTCAGGTGGATTTACCTGCCTCTTAGTGAGCGATATTTCTCCCACCAAGACTTAAACCTAAGGCCAATCGTTTCAAATACCACAGCCTTATCCACTTGGCCACTCAGTCACGATAACCACTCTTTGTGCGATCAGTAAAGCATGGTTTTCCAGATATCATGGCTTGTATACCTAGTGGACGTGGCTCTGGCGTCTGAAGAAATCAGTCCTGGGTGGGAAAGCATCACTTACAAGAAGCCAGGTACGTCTAGGTGAGTCCCGAATGGGAAAAAGCGTGCATCATGGACTCCACTATCACCCACTATCCATCAGTAATATCAGTTAAAAATACCGCCAAACCGTGCCTTCCGCATAGCAGCCTATGTGCTGATGGTCACCTGTCAGTTCGGCCCAATCAACGACGAACTGGAGCAAGAAAACAGGGATATAATAAGTGTCTGAATTAAGGTAGAAAATGCTCTAGTCTTCTGTGGATCAGCTATGAAGCAGTAAATCATCACGTTCTTACACCCAAGGGCTAGCAAAGAAAAGTTTGGAGACTACTAGGAATATCGAAAAAAGAACCCTCACCATTTGAATCAACTTATGAAAAAACTTCCACCTATTACCTGAATAAACTAACAAACCATCAGTCAAATCCTATGGTTATACATACCGTTAAGAAATGGAAAAGAGCATACATACGTACATATATAACGTAGACTGAGACAGATTTAGGTGTGACAACATGGAAGTGAATAGTTTTTACAGGTCAAATGGTAATCCAGAGGATAGAAATGGATATTCAAAATTGTTGACATAGGGATGAGAACTGAATCGATTGAGCGTCGATCACGTCATTGAAAACAAGACAGTTAATAGTACTTATGCAGACAATAAGAAAACAAGGTGTATATTGAGATGAATAATAGTGATAACATTGGCAATAGGAATAAGGTTAATTAGACGGAGTAAATCAGGGAAGGAAAATAAATATGAGATGAGTGATAATTAGTAGTGAAGAGTAAAATAAGAAAGATTAAATATGATTAGACAATGTTGTAATTGTTACCATGGCAGATTCAGGCTGACTACCATTTCCTTCTGAATGCAAGCGTTTGGTTTGACAACTCGACTCGTGCAGGCTTCTACATATCCAAGCAACTTCTTATTTTGCTGTCTACTGATAACTTTAAAGGACTTATAGGTATCAATATCATGTCCATAGTCCATTAGGTGCTTCGTTATCGAGCTCCTCGGGGTGCTTCAACCATTTAGGTATGTGCTCAACCATTCGGGTGGACAGACGCCTCTCCGTACGACCAATGTATTTGCTTCCGCAAGTACATTCGAATTGATATATGCATTTAGATGTGTTGAGGATCAAAGTACTGTCTTTCCCTGATTGCTGAAATACCCTTTTGGTGGTGCTGAGAAGAACCAGTTTAGCTGAGTGGTAAGTCCTTCTGATAGACTTCTCCAGTCTTCATCTAACTACCTATAGCACGTCGTCACCTTTGAATGGCAAGGTGACATAGGCTGGTTTCTTCTGCACTGTTGGGGCCGTTGTTCTGCTCCCTACCCACTTTGCGTGCTTGCTGAAAAAGCTTTCTGGGTACCCATTCTTCACCAGCACGTTTTTCAAAGTCCCTATTTTGTAGTCTATTGTGCTGTCGGAACAAATTTTCCTGGCTCTGAAACATGTGATGTATTAGCACTATACATCTCGAACAATCTGGTCTTCTCATTACGCTGTTTAAATTTACCAAAGGGACCAGCTGCTTTAAATTTCCTGGCTCTGTTACACAGCGTTCCAACTACATTCACTTTGTATTGGATCGGAACAAAGCTCCCAAAATGAAGGTATTGTCCTGCCCAAGAAGTTTCCTATAGATGGACCTTTCTATAGATCCATCGATTCTTTTCACTGATGAGACATCTAAGAAACTAATCATATTATTTCAGCAATCAGGGAAAGACAGTACTTTGATCCTCAACACATCTAAATGCATATATCAATTCGAATGTACTTGCGGAAGCAAATACATTGGTCGTGCGGATAGGCGTCTATCCACCCGAATGGTTGAGCACATACCAAAATGGTTGAAGCGTGCCGAAAAGAAGACCCCGAGGAGCTCGATAACGAAGCACTTAATGGACTATGGACATGATATTGATACCTATAAGTCCTTTAAGGTTATCAGTAGACAGCAAAATAAGAAGTTGCTTGGATATGTAGAAGCCTGCACGAGTCGAGTTGTCAAACCAAACGCTTGCATTCAGAAGGAAATGGTAGTCAGCCTGAATCTGCCATGGTAACAATTACAACATTGTCTAATCATATTTAATCTTTCTTATTTTACTCTTCACTACTAATTATCACTCATCTCATATTTATTTTCCTTCCCTGATTTACTCCGTCTAATTAACCTTATTCCTATTGCCAATGTTATCACTATTATTCATCTCAATATACACCTTGTTTTCTTATTGTCTGCATAAGTACTATTAACTGTCTTGTTTTCAATGACGTGATCGACGCTCAATCGATTCAGTTCTCATCCCTATGTCAACAATTTTGAATATCCATTTCTATCCTCTGGATTACCATTTGACCTGTAAAAACTATTCACTTCCATGTTGTCACACCTAAATCTGTCTCAGTCTACGTTATATATGTACGTATGTATGCTCTTTTCCATTTCTTAACGGTGTGTATAATCAGCTGACGAGTACTACTGGAATTTATGAATTCACTAAATCCTACTTTTTCACACTTGTTGCTTGTTTTAAATTTGTATCGGGAAACAAATGTTTTCAAGCTTAGTTGTGTATTTCTTTTAACAGACATCCATCTTCTGTAAATATTTACCATAAATAGTAACAAATTGAATATTTGCTGTTTCTTAGGTTTCGGTTTTGTCACCTTTGAATCAGAAGAATCGGCGGAGAAAGTCTGTGAAATCCACTTCCATGATTTGCATAATAAAATGGTAAGTTGCTTTTAAGTCATAAACTTCGCCTTTTACTTTTATCATAATCTTTTTATATGTGTTATCAAACTTCTATCATTCAAGAAGGAATGTATTAACTTGAAATGAATGTCAGTACAGATTTCGTATTAAGTAGAAATACAATCTACCCAAATCACTTAATATCAAGCCAAAAATTGTTTCTGTTAAGGTATGGTTGTCATCGAAGAATATTTTGATGCTAAGATTCAGAGTAAACAAATTCTCAAAAGTATACTGTTTCTTTGCGTCAAATTACAATACTATATTTGGCGCATTTGGTTCAGAGACTTGGTGCATTACGAAAGGGATTTCCAATAAACTACAGACATTCATCAACAGCTGCCACCTACGCTCGCAACTGAAGATCAGATGGCCAGAAAGAATAAGCAACAAGGAGCTCTGGGAACGAACCAACCAAGAAGCTATCACCCAACAAATATGCACTGGAAGGAAGTGGAGATGGATTGGGTATACACTGAGAAGGCCGACTGGGGACATCGCGCGTCACACCAGTTGCTCGAGTGGAACCCCTATGGGAAGCGACGAGTTGGGCGTCCGAGACAAGGATGACATGGAGGAGATCGTGTGAGGAGGAAATGAAAGTTTATGGTCTGTCGTGGAGCCAGGTTCAAAAGATTTCAGAGAACAGAGTTGACTGGAGACGTGCTACTGAAGCCTTATGTTCCATTAGGAACCCAAGGGACAAATAATAATATAATAATTTGGCCCATTTTACTGCTGACTTAATGTGACACGTGAGGAAGTAAAGCATCTTTATGATTTCTATTTGTCAATATATCTCAGTTGGGTTGCCACCAAACCATTATCCCTAGTCATAGTTAACACTTTCTCAGTTAATAATTCTAATGGTGAAAAACCAGAATTAAAAACAGATGGAGAAATGTTTTGATTCTATACAAGATCAATATACTTAAGTGAGTTCATCTACTAGACCATTAATCGATAAAATCAAGCGTTATACAGATAATCAGTAGTGTCTACTGATACCTAAATGCTGCTACTATGTTATTATGATATGGCTGCATCTTTAATACTACCGTTGATGATTACCGTATCCTACCAGTTTTAGAGTATAGTTTTAAGAACTAAAATGTATTTTTTAATTGCTGAGTAGTGAAATCCGTGATGCACTTTCATCATGGAATCACATAACTATTCATGGGATGAGTGACAGAATGGAGATGGATTGGGCATACACTGAGAAGACCATTCGGGGACATCACGTGCCAAACCGGGCCGGGCGGTAGAGTTTAAGCCAAAGGGGAAACTACGAGTTGGGCGTCCGGGGGTGACATAGAGGAGATGGTGTGAGGAAGAAATGAAAGCTTGTGGGCAGTCGTGGAGCAAGGTCCAAAAGACCACAGAGAACAGAGTGAAATAGAGACATGCCACTGTAGCCCTATGCTTAACTAGGAACCCAAGGGACAAGTAATCACTAAAAATGAATGACAGAAAGCTTTAGTTTAGTCGGTCTCTTAATCCGTTATGCTTTTCACCCTCTGTAGGACTCATCACCTGCATTTACTTGTCTCACAATGCCGTTTTTCAGAGAGGAGCTTGTTCTCTGTAAACATCACTCAAAACGCTAGAGCGCTGCATACCACTTGAACAATGAATGCAGTTAAGTATTGTGACTTGAAACTCATGACGATTTATTTCTTCAAACAGAGCCGTTCGACCACTTTCGCTATACGACCTAGTGATGTAAATGATCTCATATTGGTAGCCTTAGCTTGACACCAGTGGTAAAAGATTGATAACAGTGACTTGGGATAGTTTTAATCTTGTAAATTCATCTGTCAACCATCTTTAATCAGGGGCTCAAAACACGGAAGTTCAAAGACTTGGTTTATTTAGAGCTCCTGGTCATTGAAGTCACCACTGCACTCATGGTAATGGGTTTTTCCGATAAAATGATCCTAGCAGAAATAAAATGTACTAATGCCAAACTTTTCATACTTCTTCAGAATATGCCTAAAACTTTAGTCTATGTATGTAAATATGAATATCCGAGATATTGGATAAAATGTTTTGAGCCTATGAAACAACAGTGTACTACACTGTTCAAACCTACATCATCATATATGAGAAATTCTAATGATGGTAGATGATTGGAGGGAATTGCCATGAAGCCATACTTATCTAAATTTCATGACTTTTGGGACTCATGAGCAAGACATATTTTCAACCTCGAGGGAAATGATATTCCCCCCTCCCAATAGTGCTTAAGTCAGAAAGTATTGAACAATTCACTAAGTGTACACTATGACTTGTACTTGTTGTTACCTACTATTGCTGTAAAGACAGTATGCTTGATTGAAATCATGACTTAATCAAGTTATAACCTTGGTAAAGTAGAAATAGATGTTAAACAATGAAGATTATTTAGAAGTAGTATTCATCATGGACTAACATCAGTTGGGGAACCATTGGAAATCTGGGAGCACTGAACAGCTGTTTCGTCCTAGTATGGGACTCCTCAGCAGTACGTACCCACGATAGTCGCGTTATATCATGAATCGACAGAATTCGAAAGTTTTAAACCACTGAACTCTGACCAAGTGGCTGGATGGTCAATGCGTTCGCCGTGAAGCCTGAAGGTTCTGAGTTCGACCCCTAGCCGCGTCGTGGGTGCGTACTGCTGAGGAGTCCCATACTAGGACGAAACAGCTGTTCAGTGCTTCCAGATTTCCAATGGTTCCCCAACTGATGTTAGTCCATGATGAATACTACTTCCAAATTAAAAATCCCCATTCATCTCAAAAACACAATAAAAATTATTATCAAGAACTTTTTTACTTCAAAGGCCTGTTATGTATATTTTCCTGTTGCTTAGTGACGATTAAATATCTACAAATATCTAGTTTGATTAAATATTCAAATGAGATTATCGTGAAGGATAATGAATGACCTTCAAGTTGATAAACTCATTGTGAATTTGAATTTATTTATATGATCAAAGATTGTATGAATTTTCTTGTTTGTTTGTTTTTTTCAATCATAAGTTTTAAAGAAACAAAAGAACACTTTTGAAATGAAGTGAATTCACCTAATTTTAGTGATTTTTGTCATTTAAACGCGAAGTTGATTAAATAATCAGCCTGTAAAGAATATGCATGTTTAACATGCAGAATTTGTATATGACCAGTTTGGTAGATGGAAGCATAATATAAATATAAGACATTAAACCTAAGAAAAGATTCCCTTCACTGCATACCTGTAAACTATATGATATATTACTTCTAAATCCATCAGTATGCTTTGAGAATTAAGTAGTACAAATGATATATTTAGTCGGAGATTACTGTTTCCACTGCGTAATCGGTAACCTTTTGGCATGATTCGGATAAGAATCATTAGTTCTCACTGATAATGAGCATAAGCACCGATTTCGGCAACTATACATGTTTCTTTAATTTTGCATGACCTCTTGACTAACCTCAATCCTTATCAAAAGTGATCCTAAGCTTTGTATGAGTGAAAAAGCAGCGCTACTATGAAACTCTACAAGATTTACTACGTCTGTCTGTCTCTCAACATGCTATCCTGTCTACGCTATTAAGAGATGCGCTAACTTGATTCATTCTGCGTTTTTGCAAGACTCTGTATTATTATTTCTTTCTGCATCAATAAATGTTGAAAATAATTCAATAAAAACCGATGGTAACCAGAATTTGTATAAGTAATGGGAAGTATGGATGTTAGATTTTGTTTAGTTTCTGGAAATCATTTTAGCAATGATTAATAATATTCTATTCTTAGTTATCGACATGTTTCAATTGTCTCTCATTGTCTCTGAAGTCAAAGGCATGTATGTTGTATCCACACCACTTATAAAAGGATGTTTTATGTTTCACTGGAAAGTACTTGATTGAAAACCGAAAGATTTTGATAAATACGCCTAGTGATAAATAACCTGTAGGATGGAATGCAAGTGAAGTGTAAAATTCCATGCTTTTAAGTACTTTTGCCACTTGGCTATTCAATCAAATTGCAGTTTCATTAAGGAAAAAGGACCATATTGATGTAGGAGTTAATATTTCCGTTCCAAAGTAGACGAGAAAATTGAATCAGAATTTGAGTGAAGTAAAAGCTGGTAAAAAATGTCATATCAGTTTAGAGCTCTAATGAATTCTACACTTTTTCTGAAGGTTTTTCCCATTGTTGTAGTGTATTTTCCCCAATCTAGTTGACAATAGCTTACTTACAAATGTTGAAATGTAGTAAATTTAGCAAACTAGAATGATCGATGAAGGACTGACATTCATCCTAGCTTAAGTAGATAGATGCAACATTTAAACTGGTCCAGACCATCATGAATGATATAGGTGACCAAAGCATCAATTGAATTTGCGGTTTATAATGGGGATTTGGAGATTTTTCAAGTTAGTATTCACCATGGACTAACATCAGTTAGAGGGACATTGGAAACTTGAGAGCACTGGATAGCTGTTTTGTCCTAGTATGGGAATCTTCAGCAGTGTGCAGCCACAACCCCGTCAGAGATGGTAACGTACTGGCCAAGGAACCTGAAGGTCACGGGTTCAATCCCTGGTGGGGTCGCGGGTGCACACTGTTGAAAAGTCCCATTCTAGGACGCAACAGGTGTCTAGTGCTACCAGATTCCCAATATTCCTTTGACTAATATCAGTCCATGAAGAATACTAACTTGGTAGAACCTAAGTGTCAGATGAAATGCTAACAGCAGTATAAACCAGGACCAACTATCGTATTTTGTACTGCCAAAAGCTGATCGTTTATTAGTTTGGATATCCTTATGCCTCAGTGCCATCTTCAGATTCAATTTAAAATAATATTTCGTAAAGGGCTGATGTCGTATTCATCCTGCTTAGAAGAAGCAATACTGCGAAAAATATATGCACTAGGCTGAGAATTTCGCTTTGCTTTAAGTTACTGTCGTGAGCTCTGACTATGCAGTGCATGAAGAACTTATATTTTTTTGTAGCATAATAAGCTATACCTATAGAAAGTTGCACAACTTATAGCCATAATGTTATCTACCTGACGTAACTTGGATATAATGTTATCGAGGTTTAGACATTTAAATACAGAAGAAATTTAACAGTCTAATATCGTGAGATTGCAGCGTACTTCAGTAATATTTCAAGAAAAAAAGGAAAGTCAATGAAGTCTTATTTACATTTGTGATTTTTAAAAAAATACCTTGATCATTCTGTAACATTTTCAGGAAAGACAAAACTTCGGTTTATTTTACAAACCAGATATATGATTTATTATTTGATCCAGTGACCATCGGTAGGAGATTTGGGATTTGATCAGTATGGAATGTTGAAGATGCAATATCCTTGGATGAAATTTAGTCAAAATATATATTTCCAACCTTAATTTTTCAACTAGCTCATAACGAAACCACTCACTTCTTTCTAACAGAATACATTTGTAAATTATCTCTATATAAATTCTACAAAACATGTGTTGGGCAAATGTAGAGAAGCATAAAATGTCATTTTCTGCTTGATAGCTAACAATTAAACCCAGGATTCACGTTTCTTTCTATTTGAGATTCGTCAGCTGAATGCACCCAAAACTCATCGCTCTGGAGTTTGAACCAGTGAGTCCTGGGTTCGAGTCTCAGTGAGAACGATATCGCTCACTGGGATACAGGTAAATCCAGATGAACGAGCCACAAATAGAATGAAACGCGCATTCTAGATTTCACTCCTAGCCACCGAGCAGATAAATCAATGAGTAATCAAGCAGTATCGAGACATCCGAATAGGAGCTCATTTCCCGACACAGGCCGAGTTATTCTACCCGATATAGCAGCAGGAGATCAAAAGTGCCAAACAATAGAGTAAAATATTATTGAATTTCATCATATGTTGTTGGGTTCTAGGCTGTCGTAGAACCAGGTTCAAAAGTTTGCAGAGGATAGAGTGCACTGGAGATGTGCTACTGAAGTCCTATTTTCTATTAAGAACCCAAAGAACAAATAATGATAACAAAATATGTTGTTGGGAATCAGTCGAGATGAAGCACCTGACCTAGGTCTTATGCTTGTTGGCAGCGAACAACAAGACGTATCCGTAATCACAATAAATACTTCATGTTCTATAAATTTACCATCAACCATTTAATATGAAACTTGTATTATATTACTTTCTTGCAGGTTGAAGCCAAAAAAGCAGTTCCCAAAGAAGTGATGAGTACAAACAACTCCTTAATCAAACAAAGGCATCAGTTCATTCGTGCACCGATTCGTAAGTAATAATTCATTGTCATTTGTTTACACTCATTTGTTCATTTGTTTCTGCAAAGTATTAAGCACGATAAGTATAAGAATGCCTGCTACTTTCAAAGAAAAACATATTACTGTTTAGCCATTGACTAACCAAATAAAAACTTGTATAGAACAAATGACATCGTAGTGTTCATACCTGAAAAGTGCAACTTGGCGAATGCTGTGTTGCTAACTATCCTGATGGCGATATAAAGTAGACTAAGCTAAACACAACGTATAAGACCAAGTCTTATCGAGACAACTTACATTAGGTATTCTACCGATGTTCGTCTTGAGAAAACTTTTCACAATACTGTAAGGAATAACTACATTATAGTATAATATAGTATACAATGAACCGACTAATGTATATTTGACCAAGATTTCTCCAAACAACTTTTCAAAAGATATTAACCAAAGTGAATCATATGTGTTTAAAAGTAGAGGTAAATGAAACGAATTTTTCGAACTGCTCGAAGTGCTTTTTTGTTGAACCACAGTGATATGAGCCAAACAGACGATGAAAACTATCTCTATCTCCATTTTAAGCCAGAATTTCCTATTACTCCATTTTTATTTCCTGTTCTACATCACTTTTTGATATTCAATTTGCATTTCTTTATTTTAAATGAAACTTTGAATTAGAGCAAAACTGAAGTTATACTTTTTGTGTGTCTGGAAGACACGTGACAATAACTATGATAATCTAACAGTGTTTATTGAAAACAAAGTATTCGATAACTTTTCTTACCTGCTGTGTTTCGCACTTTTAAATTTACGTAACATAAATGATTACTTAGAGTATTTACGAAATCATTTATTGTAGAGATGGTCTAGTTTAATTAAAAGGCGAATGATGCAAACACTGAAATGAATAACGGCAGTTGTTTATTTCTTCTTCCTACTTCACTGATACTACTATCTATTTGATTATATCAATGTTTCATATTACATGCTCTAATGATGCTTTCGTATCATCTTATGTTGATAAAATGTTGATAAATAATCTTCTCAATTCTTTTCTTTAGCTCACTTTCTACCTGGGCAATTAAATGGAGCTGCGGCAGCCGCAGCAGCTGCAGCTGCTACATATACATTAACGGCAACATCACCAATTACAGCACGTCAACCAAGTGCCTATGCCTACTTACCTGGATACTATTTATCCCCAGGTGAGTGTCCTTTGTCACAACCACTTTCGGTCTTCTTACCTCCAACCGCTCTTTTGCCTCCATATGCTAATGTGATCTCCATGACCTAGAAAACCTGTAATCCAATCAGAAACGGATATCTGTATTCATAATACGCATACATTTGTGTTTTATGCGTATATATCAATTTGGAATAACGATGAATATGCCTATCATTGCTCTGTTCTTACAAATCCTGTTATATAAAATATTCTGATACCATAAAAAAACACTTGTTCGCCCCAATCGGAGTTAAATGTCTCCTTTTTCCCCTGTGTTGCATGTGTATTATTTGTTATGTAATCTTTCCCTCATTTTTTTTCTCCATTAATATTCTTTTGCATTCACAAGGTCTTCACATCCTTATTATTTTATCGATCCTTAAACATTTTTGACCCTTGATGTTTTTTTGTATGTTGTGTTACTGTTGATTGTGCGTGTTTACATAAGCCAGTGTATACTCCTTCACAAGTTGTTGTTTTGTTTCGTTTTTCAACTTTCTAAGTGTGAATTATCTTCTAATAAATGTAAATGATTGAGGAAAAGTTTATCAGCAGCTATGTTTTTAATGTTTCACCATATTTTTTGGCCTTGTTTCCTTCAGTCTTCTTCCCCTTTTGTACAACAAATGTGTTTATCAATGTTATTTTTTCATTGCCATTGGATACATTTCTCTGTCATATGCATATGTATTAATATTTTTTAATTGTTTCACCTTTCTTATTTTGTATAATTTATGAAAGTAGAAGAACAATCTCATTTTTTCATTTTAAAAATCAAGTGTGATTACTTACTTGCAACCTATGAAACAGCCAACTCCCTTTCCTCAACAAATAAGCATCTAAATGTGCATACTTAAAGATAAATTTCATTTTATCTGTAGTAAATACAGTAATCAAATGTGAAATTGCTTTCATCCAACCATCTTGTATGCTTTTAAAATCCAAGAAAGGGATAGTGCTATACCACATGTTCGTATGAGGGTAGTAAAGGCTTCCCAACTCCTCTATAATCATGTGTTACAATGAAAATAAAAAATGATGAAATGGATAATTATGATGACATATTTTTGAAGAAGAATATCCACTGAATCCAGTTACCTAAAATTAGTTAAAGCTTTTTTCTCTGAAAATCTTTATCCGCCTGATTGGTTGATATAACTATATCTACCAACAACAATACTGAAGGTGGTATTAAGAGAGAGATAAAATACTTTTTCATTGTTTCGAGGAATATTTTTTGATTCGACATACATGACTCTGCGTTTGGATGTGAAGGTATATACCAGTGTGGAATACAATAATCATTGCCTATCCCTTCAATCTGATCCATACTGATCATCACTCTAAATTATTATGTGATCTTACCTATAGACTGTTATTTAACTGCATTCATATTCTAAAAACGTCGGAGTCGATCTTGAAATTATGAAATAAAACTCATTTTCCTCAGTGTATCATATGTTGAGTATCTAAATATATATCAAGCTAACTAACAATTTATGCATACCTAAATATTTGTACATCGGAGAGTTTACAGGTACGCATGGTTCCGTGAAGTAGATATGTGCATGCGTTTGTGTGTGCATATCAGCACATATGCTCCAAATGGTAATCTAAAAAACACCTCCTTTGCTCACTTACTTAATATTGTCCTGTTGCTTTATTTTTTTTTATCTCAATCAATAATTTATGTTGGGTTTTCTCCCTTGTTTTGTTGTTTCACACAATTCACAATCTATTTAAGAATAAACTCAGGTGTTTCTTTGCCTTCTTACCTTATCTTTCATTGGAGTTTTTCTTTTTGTTGATTATTAAGTAGTTTTGTTGTCTACTGCATGCATCATGGCAATTCATAATAAGCACATTCACATACGAATCAAAGTATGATACACCATATTAATTTATAGCATTGTTTATACTATTGTTAATTGTATTTGTTCCCCGCTACATTTAATCAACAACAAGCGTATAACTGATATATATATATATATATTCGTTAAAATTGCATCTCCTGAAATAATGTTGTTTATACAGTTAGGGACACATACAGCAGTGCACGATAGAAATTACAAAAGGTGAGTAGCAGAGCATTCATCTTTCATTGTTCCCCTCTACCAATTCGTCACTTCATGTTTGGACTTGCGTTTTGTAAATTACACTTAAAACAATCTCAGACAATCTATTTTTCCCTCGTTAATAATAAACCTTTAGTTTGATTGCTTTTCACAGTGGTTGATTGACTTTATTCTGCTGGGGTTGTTTATTAGAATAAACATCTTAATGTGAAAATCGAAATATGTTGTATAAATGAATGAAGCTACATTGAAATCAAACCAGAATAACTTGAGGTATTCAACAATGGCTAAGTTACCACCTTTTGTGAAATACTTCTCCTTCTGCCTCATAATATTTCATTCCCAATTCAATTATTGTTTAGTTAGCATGGAGATAATTTCTACAAAAAGCTAAATATTTACATAAAATAATTGGATATAATGTATTTAAGTAAATCTGATTACATTGTTCAAACAACATTATCAGTGCAGGTTGTTGAAACTTTGCTTTCCCTTACTGTATTTCTATTCTCACTCCCCCTTTTCCACTTATGACTTCAAGTATCACAGTATATATACGTGCATAAACGAGCATGTGTCCTATGAACATGAATGAAAGCTTATGCATGCATATAAATATATTTAAAGTATTCAAAATGATGACAACAGTAAAGACAATCAAAGAGGATTTCAACTGTTCTTTTTAGCATGTTTGCCAAATGTAAAATGTATTACCAAAACGCACAAAACGCTCAAATCACTCAGCCAATCCAATAAATAAATGATAAATTCAAGTGAATGATATTATCCTTGACCATACATATATGCCTTAATCACGTTTATTCTTATTCTTATTATCATTATCATTACCAATTATTACTATTAATATTTCGCCCATGAAGACTATCAGAAATCTCCTCGACTGTTTTCATTTCAACCCTTTGAATTGTTTTTGTGTTTTCAGTCTTCTGATTTTTTTTTTGAGTGTGTGAATTTGTGTTCATCCTTACTTTACATAATTGTTACAAAAGATTTTCGAAAAGTAAAGTGAACAATTAAAACAAACAATTTCAAATCAAAAAAGATTATGAAAAATAATTAAAGAAAATAATGTTGATCTGTGTTCCCTTTTTTTCCTGGACAGCGAGATGGTAGTTCAAAAGGGACGTTTTTGTTTTTAAATGTAGATTTTGTTCATATATTTATTAACGATTTATATTTTCGTCATGTCATCTAACTGTGATGGTTCGTCATTATATATGTATGTATAGATGTGTGTGTATGAGTATATACATACATGCATAAATTGCATGACGCGTTGTCCGTAAAGGTCTGTTGTAAATGTGAAATAATTAGGGTATGCATGTGAACTCCGATTGGGCAACAGGTTCAAGTCACCGGTTATCAAGAAGGTAATACTAGGCATACTTATAATCGTGCTGTAGTGCATCTGGTATTATGGCTATCATGAAAGTATCATTTAACTCCAGTTCTCGACATTACTGAATTTTTTGTTCAGTAGAATTTGAGAGAAAAATAAGGATATAGCTAAATTAGGTGCAAAGTTTTTTTATTTTTTGACAGGTTAAAAAGTAGGTGTTCCATTTCTCAATGATTAAATGTAACAGTCTACAAGTCTCACTCATTACAGTATTCATAATTTGTTTTCAAGCTGAAATTTACTAGTTTTTCAACAGCTGTTAGACGCAAATTATCCCACACAATGAACTTTCCTTGTGGTAACTACTTTCTTAGGGCCATGAGAAACTACTTTTGGTGTCTCACTCATGTAGTGATAATATTTACATCTACATTGAACTGTGACCAAGATTTGACCGAACAGTACCCCAAATATTGTGCGGTGAGTAACACGCTATGACTTACTCGAATATAAACTATATCAATATCTAAAAAGCTGAAAATCCTCATTAACGTTTAGTTTCGTTCAACGACCCATTATGTATCACTTGATGTAATAAACATATCAACTCAGACAATAAGATAAGGGTTTAAAGCAGTATTCATCATGGAATGCCATCATTGGAGAACCCCTGAAAACCTGGTAGCATTAGAAGGCTGTTCTTCATCAGAACGCACCTACACCCTTGCTCCGCCAGGGATCCAAATCAGGATACTCAGGTTTCAAGGTGCACTCATTGATCATTCGACCACTAGATCGGAATTCTTTGATCCATAGTTCCCTACTCCTTTCGAATTGTGGATAAGGCAAAACTATCCACCATGGTTGTCATTCGCTTCACTGCTGACTGGTTGACACCACAAGTCATGCACGGCTTCTCATTAGAACTTCGAAATATCCATCCCGAAACATGTCATTTCATGATAAATGCAACCTTAAATGTAAAATCCCCATAAACCTCAGAACACAATAATATATAGTGACATGCTTCCAGATCTAATGAAAAGCCATGCCTGATCTTTAGTGTTAACCAGTCAGAAGTGAAGTAGATGCCAACTGAATAACTCGGTGGATAGTCGTTGTTTATCGCAAGTTGACAGAAGTAGGAAACTGCGGACAATTAAGTCCTCTTGTAGTGGCTGAATGGCTAAAGTGTTCGCCATGAAACCTGATATTCCCGAGTTCGGCTTCCTACGGGGTGCAGCTGTGAGTACTTACCGATGAGGAGTCGCATACTGGAACGAAACAGGTGTCCAGTACTCCCAGGCGTTTAGCGTTCTCCCAACTGATGTCATTCTGTGATGAATACTTCCTTAAAAATCCCCACTAACCTAAAAATACGTATAGAGTTTAGCTAGGTGTGCATCCCACCTATCATTTGTTTGCTGAATGTGCCACCAAAAATATGTTTATCAAGTAAAAGTTATTAGGTAAGTGCATCATGTTAAAGAATGTTATACTGTGAAAAAATTTCCTTATGAATGTATATTAAGAATCTGACAGTAG